CTTCTCAATAGCATGTAGGACTTTGGAACTCTTTAGCCCAGAACGCAATTGGTCCAGCAACCCTTTTTTCCAGTTGAGTACATAGTGTAAGAGAAGTGACTGCAGTATCAGGTTTCTGTTGTCATCCTAGCAAACCATAACAATACAAATGGAATGGCTTTACTATCTATCATCGCAAATTCCATTTGTGGGTGGGCTACTCTCCAAACTTTTAAAACCAGATTCTAAATCATTAACAAATAAGGACAACAAGGGTGGCATATATTCTACAACAATAAATTGTATAACAATAAATAGGTCATAACATACCGATAGTCTTTGCTTTAACCACTACAGTCACACAGGAATAGAGAAGGGGGAAGGGCATGTTGAGTTTGACAGGTAATTAACTTTAAATTTATTCGGAAACACTGACTTTTGTCAACATTTCCAAGTGTGGATATGAAAAGAGATAACATATACAAATAATATAATAAGGAAAAAAATAGGAGTTACTATTTTCTATTTGCTAGTTTCACTTACTGACAGCAATGTTGAGATGCCACATTCATTACACAAGGAAATGAAATTTGAGTCTTGCCTTAACTCTTGGAGTTCAGGTGAGGTTGCACCAGACAACTATAGGATATAAAGAATTTATACTGTAGATTAACATGTTTCCCTGTATTTCCTACTATTGACATTACTTTAAAAACTAAAGACCTGTGTGTAAGAACCTAGCGGTTTAAGAACCTGCTGGAAGAAATTTCCAATTTTGATGACCCAAAATATAAGAACCTGTTTAGCCAAGCAAGATCAAGCAAGTTCTCACATGTGAGTTACAGTAAAATTATGATGAATACTGTAACAAGGAGTTTGACTTAACTGTATACTTATAAATGGAACCCAAGTTAATTTATTTTTCTGTGGGTAATGGAAGCAGTATTCAGTTCCGTCATAAAAATTTAAAATTTAACCAAGAACCTATTCAGCCTACATTGCCTACAATTAATTAAGGATCTTACACGCAGGTTCTTGGAGTAGTACCTTCTCTATGAACTCTCTTGCCTCTTCATCCCTAACATCATCAACTGTAACATAGCACAGAGCTTTATGGACATCACCTGTCGCAATATACCAGTACACTGGAGGGGCAAAGCAAGGAAATCTAATGAAAGACTGGAGTATACCATGCCCTATCAATCGTCCAAGGACCTCCATTAGTCCTGAGTAAACTGATGTGCTGTTATAGGCAGGGAGTTTCCTATGATCTGATCCTTCCAATAATTTGAAGGCTGGAAATGTTGCTATTGCTTTTGTGGCATCATTGAAAAACTCACGACGGATTCCACCTGTGTCAACAGCTGGCTGGCTCTTATACTGCACTCTAACACGCTTAGAAGCATCAAAGGCAGTAGAATTTTTGTAGAATGCAATAGTATCAGCTATAAGGTCATCTGGGTCAATGGTGATCTTAATTTCAGGACCTGTAATAACCTTGTCAGCAAAACTTTGTAGTACTTCTGCAAGAGAAACTGCTAAAAAAGACAAATAATGTTTCAGCTTTCTTCCATCCTGTGTATCATCACTTAGCTTTATGGTGATACTGTGGGGCATGTATGTGGTAATACCCTGGAAACTCCTACATCAAACCCAGTCAAAGTGTGTAACCACCCTCATTTCTCAAAATGAAAGATAACATTTCAACTGATTTAAGTGTTCATGCGTATTTCTTACAATCTCACTCACAGAGCCCACATGTCTTTTGGTCAGCGCCAACGCATGCGCTGTGAAAAAGTCCTAAAACCTTGGACTAGAAATCGATTAATCCAGAGCTCTTTGTCTTCGTGCTGATCAAAAGACACGTGGGCTCTTGGAACGAGATTGTATTTCTTAAAAATCAAACCGTAAAAATCAAACTGTAACACAGTAATAGGCATATCATTTTTCCAAAGGTCATTTACCTTCTTTTTGCAAAACCCACACTTCTTTAAATAAAGTAAACACTTTTAACCTTGCTCCTTTTCACTCTTCAAAACTTCATCAATTGCATCTGGAAGGTCTAAAGAACCACTGTATATTTCTTTTAGATAGTCCTCATCGTGTTGTGGAAACATCTGACGAAGACATCTTATGCCATTCCGAAAACATTGGTAAAAAGAAAATGAAGCAATATTCTCATTACAAGGGTTATTTCATATATGACTGGTAAAATTTGCCTCGGTTATGTCCTAGTGATGTTGCCCTATTTCCAAATTTATCTGACACAGTTGATCTGGCAGTTTGATGAAAACATACAAAATATCTCATTTTGGCCGCATTGCAGTGTGATAACGTTTTGTTTGTTTGTTTGTTTGTTTGTGTTTTTTGGTAGCATGTAATAGAATGTCTGGCTAAGAATTTTAGAGTAAGACAATACTAACAGCTCAAAAAAACTTTTGACATCACACAAATACATGTAAATACCTCGTCATCTGTCTCAGATTGACAGGCAGGTTCTTTCACAGACGACACGCCCCTATTATAGTACTAGGCCTTTCCACAGGGATGGCTTCAAATGTGTCTGAAATGTTTTCCAGTTCCTGTTCTTGCTGTTTGTTAAGACGGACATACAATTTGCCTTGACCACATAAGTTTTTAACGTGCTTAAAATCCCAGTTGTAGCCATCAGCTACAACAGGAGTAGAGACTCTTTTGCCGAGGACTTTAACAAATTCAAAATCATCCGGTGCAATGTCAGGTATTTGTGTCTTCAACGCTCCGACGATTTTATTTCGCATGAGACGTTCGTCATCTGTGGTGACGAAATCCACCTCAGCATAGCACATTATGGTATCATTCTTTAAAGGATATTCGTTTGAAGAACCAGAATTTTCCAAGAGCACAACCGTTTTAACCACATCCTTGGGAAGAACATTTCCATAACGTGAAGCCCCCGACAATCGGGGTCTTTTAGGATACGCGCTAGTGGCGCCATTCTGAAACGACGTGCTGGCATTTCGTGTGAATGACGATCGATTGCTTCTTAAAATATCCCTGGCACGGTTTACAACCTGTCCAATTTCAGAGTTTAGCCGTTGGCTAGTTGCACTTGTACTTGTGTTCCGTGGGGAAGCTGTAAATAACAAGTTTACGGCTAAAATAATTCGATTTGAGATCTGCTCTCGTCTGTTCATACATTTAAAGAAAGCATAAGCAAGCTAGGTGGTACACTGAAAAAAAATTAATTTACAACTACCTTCCAGTCTTCCTGTTTCCCCTGCATTTGCAGATCTATTGGTATTCGACTGCATATACTCCTCCAACGCTTGTCTCACCTTGGAACGAATTATTGACCGGTTCAAATCCATTTTCGTGAAGCTGAGTGAAGCTGTGAAAAAGCTGCGACAGAGTGCGACAGTAAAACAGACCGGGCTTCGGCAGGCGAACCATTTTTGGCGCGAATCGGTCCTATGCGACCAGGCCTAACAAGTACCACGTGACATTCTGGGATAAAAATATATTTTTTAAATGAAAATATTTTTACCCTAAGAAAATATTCCATTGAATGGCAATATATTTTATCGAATGAAAACATTATATCAAATGAAAATTATTTTTATTGAATAAAAACATTTTTTTTGTGTCAAATGAAAATATATTTTATCGAATGGAAATATATATTTTATCGAATGAAAATATATTTTTATCGCATAAGAATATTTTTATCGAATGAAAATATATTTTTATCGAATGAAAAAAATTTTTATCGAATGCAAATATATTTTTATCGAATGAAAATAATTTTTATCTAATTTTGCTACATTTCGGCAACCATACCATTGGACACAATTACTCAATACTACACGACTGAACTCATAGGCATCAGGTTTGTGGCTGGAATCAAGGTACCTCCACAAGATTCGAAAGTAAAGACGATCACTTTCCTCAATTTCCACTTGCAGATACATCTATTTTATGGCTCATGCTAAGGCGACAGGGTTCCTCCTGACCTAATAAGCACATCAAACAAATCTTTCTGTAATTTAGGACCTACACAAATTGCGTCATTCAACGAAACTCCATCTGTTTTCGCTGAACAGTAAAACACAATGTGTACTTTAGTTGTAGTCTTGTCCATGCGAATTACAGGAAAATGGGGCAGATACCAAACCTCTGGTGGAGATGGCTCCCCCAGCTCAACCTTTCGCAAGTACCCTTTTTCAACATAGCTGTGAATAATCTGCAAGTAATCTGCTCCAAGAGCACAGTCCTTCTTCAGCTTGTTTTTTGTACCGCATAACCGAGTTAACGCAGTGTGACGATTTTCAGGCAGTTGAGGTTTATCTTCCTACCATGGTACACCCACTTTGTAACCTTTTCCAATGTAACAAATAGATTCCTTAACTTTCTTTAAGGCTTCATTCTCCTCTTTCGTGACAATCAGAGTATCCTGGCCCTCCAAGCCACAGTTCTCCACCTCCCAAAATTTTCTCAAGGCACGATCAATGTCACAGCAGACACTGTCAGCGCCGACATCGGGCTTTCTGGTAAACAAAGTGCAACTGACTTGTGTCCTTGCCCCTGTCCACTGCCCTCCCTCTCACTCGGCGCATGAAAAGTTTTCCCTCGCGAATAAAGACCCAGCCGAATGTAAAGCCGATTTCCGAGTGGAAAAGAGGGATATTCCTTTGCTTCTTGACGCATTAAGAGTACCTCCTGTCTTCCAATGCCGCAATGGAACAATTTGCGATGGAGTCCAAGGCCTTAATAATGCTGAAGAGGTTTGCTTACCCGTGCCGGTATTCCAACATGATTCCTATTTTTGAACGATGCGTGCCAGAACTTAGCATGATTAGTAATGAGGTTGTAGACTGGATGTACACAGCTCATGGATACAAAATAACACAGTCGAATCACGACCTTTTAAATCCAGCTGCACTGAATCAGTATGCTGATGCCATTAGTAATAAAGGAGCAGCACTGAAAATTTGTTTTGGTCTCATAGATGGAACTGTGCGCCCCACTTCTAGACCGGATGCAAACCAGAGAATTGTATACAATGGACATAAACGGGTTCATGCGCTTAAATTTCAGTCTCATGCGCTCCCAAATGGATTAATTGGCCATTTAGATGGTCCTGTTGGTAGGTACATGCTATAACGGGACACCCAATTCAAGTTCTTTGGTGCAATGTTCTAATTTTTAAAACCTTTTTCTTTTTTTTTTTTTTGAAAGAAGGAAGGATGCACGATGCACGAATGTTGGCAGTTTCTGATCTGTATGATGATTTGGAAAATTTTGCTTTCTGTCCAGCTGGAAGAGAAATGTGTTTATATGGGGTCCATCTCCAAGCCGAATTGGGGTTTTAACCAGGCAAATGGAAATTTTTAATGAAAAAAAGAGTGCAGTACGTGCATCTGTAGAGTGGTTATTTGCAGATATCATCAACTATTTCAAATTTCTGGATTTTAAAAAGAATTTGAGGGTAGGTTTAAGTCAAGTTGGTAAGATGTAACCTGCCTTTATTCTAACACAACTGCTGAGTACTTTGGAGTCGACCCTCCATCATTGCAAGACTATTTTCGTTAATTGTAAATTTACAGCTTGAGAAGAAAAGAAAAGCTACATATTGTACAAAAGAACTTTTAAGAGATACTATATTCAACATGTCTGGTATGACAAAAGGTTAAATATGTTCTCTCCGTTTCTCCATTTTTCAAAAATATAAGATATAACAGTTGTAGCAACACTGGAGCAATCAAAGGGCCTGAAATAACATTAGCCAAAAGAGAATGTTTATGTGAAGCAAAGCTCCAAGTTCAACAAACACAACAACAATTGCATCTGAAAGTGTTTCTTTGTAAACAATAACTACTTATTTGTTATTTTTGCAATAACGCCATCAAAACTTTTGACTGCTGCTGTTGCTGCTGCATCATCATCTGAGAGTTGAGTAACTGCTGTTGGCTTTGTTGCTGTTGCTGCTGCATGACTTTCAGTATGTCTGCTTGTTGCATTTGCATTTGCTGTTCCCTCAAGACCTCCATTTTCTCTCTTTCGTGTGTTTGATGCTCCCTCCTCATCTTTATGTCTTCCGCTTTCAGTCGGTCACTTACTTTAGCTCTATCAGCTAAGTATTCGATAACATCATCTCCACTTCTTCGTTGACGCTTCGGTTTATCATCGCTTTCATCTGCTGATGAGTCTCGGCCTGGTCGTATTGAACTTTTATACTACTTGTTCCCTGTGTTTCCTGTAATTCCGCTTTGCTTTTTTTCTCCAACGCGATGATCGTATCAGTCTTCTAATTCCGTTGGCTCATTGGGAGTTATACCGGTTGCTTTTCCCTCGGCTTGAAGTTTCTTCTGATGCTTGTAAACAAGTATTCCCACATGGTCTCTAACTGATCGCTTATCAACTCTGAATTTCGGCACAGAGCATTTGTTCAAGGTGTCTGCTATTTTTCCCCGCATGCTGCTTCTTTGTGTGGACCCTTTCTTAGTTGTGAAGGGATTTACATTGACGACTTCTATGCATAGAATGGCTTCATGGTCATATGTCCAAAACATTACTGAACTAAAGGAAGGTATAAAAACACACAAAGTTTAATAAAATTAAATTAAATAATTCCAGCTTAAATGTGCTAGTTTAGCGGCAGATGAACGCAATAAATCAAGAAATGCAACGGTACAAGAGACGAGGAAAGTATGCAGAAGACTCCTGCATTCACTATTTTCAGGTGTAGCTCGTGACTTACTTGGAAGCCTTGCTCGAAAGTGCTGCCATTTTATAAGCTTCGTACACCTGAAAGAAATTTATAAAAAAATCAAAATCCTTTCATCTCTGCGATCTCGCCAGAAATTACGTGCAATGATCCTAGATTGCTAGAGGAATATATCATCATTTAATTTTAACACTAGAAGGAATACACTCACGTTTTGTACAGAACGTCAAAATTGCCAAACCCACGTTCTCGACGCGACGTGACGTGATGCCATCAGGATGACGGCGTGAGCATGTGCAATATGTCACCTCTTTGAAAATTTACTTCCGGCCGCGTCTTATAGCCGTCGCGTCTCGGATCTTAAAGTCCCTATTACCAAATCAGGCAAAACACCACGAGGCCAGACTAAAAGATCAGCAATGACAAGGCGAGGAGTAGAGCTGAAAGAAAAGAGACTTGCATGGTAAACAAGGATGACAAAAGGTCACCTACCCATAAGGCTAACACTCTGACTCTCGGGCAACCACTGAAAACCGAGAGACATGCCTTGTAAATTTGCCTCTAGCCGGGACCTTCCAAGAAAAGGTCTTCTATACAAGGAAGCTCAAACGCTCCCTTAACAAAAGACTTGAACTGAGAAGAGCTGTCATGCAAAAAGGGCCAAAAATAGGCCGAAGACCACTGTGGGACGACCTTCCAAGAAAAGGTCTTCTATACAAGGAAGCTCAAACGCTCCCTTAACAAAAGACTTGAACTGAGAAGAGCTGTCATGCAAAAAGGGCCAAAAATAGGCCGAAGACCACTGTGGGACGATCAAAGTGCCGTAACCAGGGCAGACCCAATTGTTCTCGTCTCGCCAATCCTAGGTCAGGGCGTCAACGCCTAATAAACTTTGTCCTGTTTACTAGGCACCGTGATTGGTTGTTGATAAGTGCTGATTTAAAAGGTCATTCAAGGTTGCATTGATTATGTAAACCGATCAATGTCCCAAAATCACTACAAGCGGTGCTTCTAGCTCTTGACATAATGTTCACACTCATCATCTGACACGTGTCACGCACGAATGACAAAGTCTCCCACACACTCCCCCATGCAGCATTGCATGCAAGGGTGCATTCACCTAAGAGACTTAACGATTTCAAGCTAAATGAAAAAGTTCTCCATAAATCAAACGTTTAAATCAAGTTCACAATTTTGAAGTTCAGCAAAAAAGGAGCTGTAATTCATTGTTCATCCTCAGCAAGGTCCTGGATTCGGGCTCTGGCAGCAACTGCAGCATCCCGTCTTGGTCTGAACACTAGTGCGTTTGGGTTCAGATCTGCTGTGGGAGTGTCTGTATGTGTCTCACAAGCCTGGTCACAGTTTAGCTCAAAGGGGTACAGGTGCTGAACAGGCCTTTCTAACATGCCATTTGCTGTCTCGAGTTGAACTGCGCGGATGATTCCGTCCTTCCCGGGATAGGTTTTGTCTACTACCGCCAGTGGCCAACTCCCACGATTCTTGTTTTCGGTCTTTATAATTACAACATCTCCAACGTTTGGCTGAAATTTGGCCGCTTTGTGTGTCAGGTTGTGCCGCTCCCATAAAGCTGTTAAATATTTTCTCTGCCACCGTCTCCAGGACTGTTCTTGCAGTTCCTGAGGTATTTAGCGCGTTTGCATAGGTCCAGTTCCTCGATCCTCCATGTTTTCTCTTCTGGCAACTGACTGGTTCGCTGGAACAGGAATGTTGATGGTTTAAGTGTTGGTAGCTCGACATCATCTTCTACGTAACTTAATAGGCGTGGATTAAATTGTGTTTCCACGTCGAGCAGTACCTCACTCAGCTCAGTCTAGATAAGTATACCTCCCCCAATGACTTTGTACATTGCGGACTTAACGACTCCAATCAACTGCTCGAATTGTCCTCCAGACCAAGGAGCCCGGCTCAAGTTAAATTTCCAGGTGATGTCGCAATCTTCAAGGAGACCTTGAAGGCGCTCATCTCCTCGCAATTGGCGAAGCCATTTCACAGCCTTGATAAAGGTGCCTTCATTGTCCGAGCAGATAACGTGTGGTCTGCCGCGCCGGGCGATGAAGCGCTTAAGAGAGGTAATGAAATTGCTTGTCTTTAGATTAGACAGTAATTCCAGGTGTACGGCTCTGGACAGGCTACACGTGAAGATGGCTAAGTAAGCTTTCTCCTCGCTCCTCTTGCGTTGTTTGTACTTGATAGGACCAGCAAAGTCGGTGCCAATTACTTCGAAGGCTGCTCCACCATTTGTACGGTCTGTAGGCAGTGGTCCACGGGGTGCCACTGTTAAGGGTGAAGCTATGAAACGTTTACAGCCCTACCACGCAGATGGCACAGACTTCACTAGCTGTCTCAGGGTCGGGCCGGGATCCAGTACTGTTCATGAATCGCTGCCATGGTAAGGGACACACCTCCATGTAAGGTTTCGACATGAATCCTCTGTACAAGCTTCCTTGTAAACATGGCGTCTGCTGGCAGGTACACTAGGTATTTTCCTTGAATTCTTCCATGATATTCGAGAATTCTATCTGCGTTCTACCTGGTCTGTTCAAAGCGCGGTTTCCGCGAATCTTGAGACTGGACTCTATCTATACACCAGTTCTTGGTCTCGTGAATGTCTTCGCTAGTAAGAGGTCCCTTACGCACCCGGTGAGTAGTGAAACGTCGCACCCAAGTATGGATGCGAAGAGCTCGGCGTAAATCATGGCGTTCGAGGAGTTCGTCGAACACACTCCGTTCTTGTTCAGGTTTTGCTAGGCTTAGCACTTCTCTGGTGACTTTTGCCTCTTCTTCTGAAGTTTCTGATTTCATGGTAACCGGGTTCTTTGGCCACAGTTCAGGATTACGCAGTCACGCTGAGCCATTCTACCAAAGCTCTGCGTTGGTAACTTGGCTTCCTTGACTCGCCAGGTCCGCAGGGTTATCAGTAGTGGGCACGTGTCTCCACTGGATCTGTGGGTACTGTCTCACTTTTTGCGCGCGGTTAGAGACGAACTGTCGGTACTGGCCATTTCCCACAATCCAGTGGAGGGCGACGGTGCTGTCCAGCCAACCGTAGATCATGGGTACAGGTAGTTCTTTTAGTGCGTTTCTTATGTTGATGACTAAATTGATAGCCATGTGGGCGCTGATTAACTCCAACCTGGGTACGGTTAGTTCCCTCTTGGCTAATCTTGCTTTTGCCGCAACCAGGGTTTGATTGATTCCATCTTCTTGGTTTACGACTGAATACACTGCTGCTCTGACCCCATAAGTTGACACGTCCCCGAACACATGCAGCTCAGTGGAGATGACTGGTTGTTGATAAGGTGCTAAGGGTCTGTGTGTGGTCACTTCCGCCGGAAGTGACTGCTCCCACCTTTGCCAGCGTATTTTCAGATTCTCTGGGATAACTGCATCACATGATACTTTGCAGTAGCACGCTTCTCTGTAGATTTGCTTCCCTCACAGTGTAATGGGAGACGCCAGGCCGAGGGGTCGTACACTTTTGCAAGTTTGGCCAGTATTTCACGTTTTGTCGGTGCACTACTTGCGCTTGGGAACTGCAAAGCGATAGTATCTTCGAATTTGTCCCATTTTACGCTCAATAGTTTTGACTCACGTGGCTTGACTAGTAACTGTTGTTTCGCTGTTTTTACGTAAAGTAAGGCTGATGCAATAAGTAATTTAACTGATTATGATGACTATACCATTAACGAAGCTATCTTTCAAAGAATTAACCTGTTTGGGGGGCCCCACACCGTTGACCGACTTGCTTCTTCCTATAACGCTAAGGTACCAAGATTTAACACTGAGAGTTTTTCAGAATGGCTGTGTAGTAGTAGATGCCTTCTCCCAGGATTGGGGGCACGATAATGATTGGATTTGTCCTCCAGTGTGCCTATTAGTTAGAGTGGTAAAGCACATGGAATTATGTAAGGCGAGAGGAACGGTCATCCTTCCCATGTGGAAGTCCTCTTGCTTCTGGACTTCTTTTGGTAGAGACTATGTGCAATGGAACAGTTTCGAAATTGACTGGGTGTTTTCACCCAAGTTCCTAGGTCTCTTTATCAGAGGGAAAACCCGAAACTCGCTTTTCGTTTCCAGACCCCTGGACTTTGATGCTATAGCCCTTCGAATTGATTTTCGCCGCCCCAGATCTCCCTGCGCTTACGTAGGCTTCTGTACGAAGTTCAGTAAAGACTGTGATCGTTGTAATTAGCCCGGCGGGCTTTTGTATTCACCGCGGAAGTTTTCTCTTCTGGGTGCAAATGTGATTTTGTTTCAGTCAATCCCAGCGTAATTGCTCTAAGTCCTTTGTACTTAGCTTATGGGTTGTTTGGCACTTACTCAGGCTTGAAGTGACTTAAATCATAGAATTGCTCGTCAATATTGCGTTATGACACGAGTTTGAGTCAAGAATTTATTCAGCATTGTTTGAAATTAAAGGAACCCATTTGTGGTCCACTTTGCAGATTTCAGTTGTCTATGTATTCTCTGTTGGAGTTTGATTATTCCCGGTTATCCTATTTTCATTCATCTATTTATTTAGTTATTTCTTGTTGGATTGTACTCCTCACTTTGCCTTATTTTAACTTTCGTTTGGATATTTTTCATTCGAGTTTGGAGTTTTTTTTTTCATGGAGTTTGATTATTCCCGGTTATCCTATTTTCATTTATCTATTTATTTATTTATTTATTGTTGGATTGTACTCCTCACTTTGCCTTATTTTAACTCTCGTTTGGATATTTTTCATTCGGAATTTTGGGCATTCCGGGACGGACCGCTTGACGACTTGCTTGAGGGACTGAATGATCGACTGAAGACGACTGTACTCTCTTCCAAAGCAAATGGGACTTTTATAGTATACAACCGAGCTTTCTGCGGATGGAATCAGTTTGCAAACGATAAGTTAAACGGGAAAGCCTTTCTCGCTAGCTCTTTTCATGTGGTTTTGTATTTACAACATCTTCTAGAGGAAACCCACTAATCTAGCGTCTTCTAGTGGAAACCCACTCCCCTAGCGCGGTCGATTCTGCTTTCTATGGCTTAAAACGGGCCTCTGACTTGGCAGGAATCCCCCTCCCTAACTGATGACCCAATTGCTGAAGCCGTGAGTACGGCGCCCAAAAGAGTTCATGGTACCAGTGTCCTTAGTCGTAAAGAACCTATTTCGGCCCCTTTTAATCCACGACATTAAGAAATCAGACTTAGATATCCCTGTAAAGTTGCGTAATTTTTCTATGTATGTTTTATCTTTTGCCAGTTTCTTTAGGTTTGACGATGTGTCTAGAATTAGAAGAAGTGATATTTCCTTTAAAGAAGGCTTCATGATTATTAAGGTTTTGAAAAGCAAGAATGACCAGCTCCGTAAAGGCGTCGAAGTCGTTATCTTACAATCGTCTAGTTCTGTATGCCCCGTTGAGTTGCTTAAGAGGTGTTTAGTTATGTTTAAGATACCCCTAATTCCAAAGATTTTATTTCAAGCCTATTTCTAAAGGGAAGGGCTCTTGCAAGCTTGTTGCCCCTGATAAGCCCATTAGTTACTCCACTATTAGAGGGGCTTTTCGCTGGGACCTGCAAAGTCTCGGAGTTGAACCGTCCAAGTTGGGTTTGCATTCTCTAAGATCCACTATGATAGCAAATAATGGAGTAAACGACATAGTTTTCCAACGACATGGTTGTTGGAAATCTGTACAGGCCAAAGACACATACGTAGACGATAATTTTGAACAACGACTGGAAGTATTGCGTTTTCTTGGGCTCTGAAGGTGTTTTCGTGTTCTTTTTGGTGGTATAATATCACCTGGCCTCGTGCGTCTTGCCCAATTCTTTGTCAGTCTTTATATGCCTCGGATTGGTTCTCGGAAGGCTTCCCTAAATAAACGTATTTGGTGTACAATACTGTGTTATTTTTTGTGTAGTGGAGACAAAATATGGTATTTCTGACGTACGAGTCTGCGAATAAGGCAGAAATAGATATTTTGTAGGCACAAGATACGACAAGGCCTGGGCCTTAGGCCCGAGCATCATGGGTAATGATGCAGTGGTATATAAGTGGAAGTATAAGTATATAAGTGAAAGTGCAGTGGAAGTATAGCACGTGGTGTCCATCTAGGCCTCAGAACCAACCGTTCACCTCTGGCTGATGACAAATTTATTTTAGTTTGAAAACATATTTTCTTTAACTTTCTCAAACTCATTAATAATTCATACTGAGAAAGCAAAGGAAATTACAACCCTGAAGGAGGTTTGGATATGTGATCTTAATTATCATAAAATCTGGTGAACTTTTGCTTTGATTTTCTCCAAGAATTATTAATGGTTTGAGAAGCTATATCAAACATTCGAAAGGGTGTTTCATCCGATATCCAAACACCTTGAAGTTGGAAAAAAAAACTCGGCTGCGCCTCGTTTTCTCAACCACTTCTCGGTGTTTGGATATCGGATGAAACACTCTTCCTCGTGTTTGATATATTACGTGAAGCCTCGTAGGATGGGCTGCCAACTGCTCCGAGTTTGGGCCATGGTTCCTACCCGGATTTCCTGTCATTTTTTTTCCCCAAAGGGTTTTTTTTCTGGCCTCTGTATAACCGTAGTTATGTCCTTGTAAGCGGTTGCCCATCTCTTTTAATCCAGACTTGGTGAAGTTTGCATGTTAGTAATATATACCTATTTTTTAATGTGTAAGGAATTGACTGTATATCAGGATTGCGAATATATGTATGTATACATGCCTCGGCCTATTTATGCCTCGGGTTGATTCTCGGCAGGCTTCCCTTAATAAACTTATTTGGTGTACACTACTGTGTTATTGTCGTTTAGTGGAGACAAAATCTGAAAACTGAATTTAGTGCTATGTCAAATGTGATTGGCAGTGTAGGGTAGTCCTGAAAAGGGCTGTTGCTGAGTACATTGAATGGCATTTTGGCAACTAAAGAAACCAAACACTTCAGCTTGAAGATGCCTGTGTTTTTAAAATGTTAGTCATTTTCAACAACAGTGGTCCTTTCCAAGTTCATTCTAATCTACTTGATTGCACTAAACATACCACTGAGACTGTTGGGTTCAATCCATTTAGTAAGTTTAGTTCAATATGAATTTGAGGAATTGTATGTTGTTACATTCAAGAGACAGTAACAATTAAGGCAAACAATGTTATATTTTGAAATTACAACTGTAATACTGTTCATGGTGCATTTACTTGTTTTTCGTTGAGCTTTGTTTAACTTCATGTTAAAATCTACTTTATTAGCCATTTGCATTATTTTTGCTGATTATAGCATTGGTTACTTATTCAGGGATGATGGTTTTTGGAGGGCAGGTTTTTTTGGTGGGGAGAGGGCGAGGTACTTATGCCCCCCCTCGCTCTTCTATTTTTTACCAGTTTAAATCAAGGCCCTGCTGTTGTTTAGAAAATAGAGAGAGGAATGGTAGATTACACTTTTTTTGTGAAAATGAACTTTAAGTTTCCAATCACATTTGATTTTAATTACATGGACCATGTTTTGTACTGGAACTTTAGCCACTTTCCTTCTTTACCTTTGCAGTTATGAATAAAAATCAAGTCTTGCTGAAAAATAACTTGACCCTTATATGCAAACTAGATATAGCATGAAGAATAGTTGTGAACACATGCTGACCATTCAAGCATATCAGCATGTGCAAAATTTAGAATCTTTGAACAAAGTGTATGGCTTCCCATTGTTCCTCACAAAACAAGTATTTAATGATATCTAATTACCATATAGTAAGGTAATAGGTGAAATTTCTCTGATCAAGCAAAGTATTCCTGTAGTGATGGAGGGTCTAACCGAAAGAAGCAAGATGTCTGATTGCCATAGAGGCATGTAAGGGCATTTCGAAGGAGGGCAGCGACAACATACATTTTGCCTACACTGCTAAGGCCAATTTTTAAGTTTTTTTTTTAAGTCCAAGAACTTGAAGTAGTTAGTGATGTCATTGAATAGCCACTCTACTGATTCTCTAACAGTGCTCATTGACTGGTTAAATTCCATCATGGGAGAAGTCAAGACTCCATTCCTGAAGGGAGCTATGAGGTGCACCCTTAAAGGGTAAGCAGGATCACCATAAATACAATAAGGATTCCCCAAAGGTGAGTTTGCAAACGTCTGAAGGTCATTGAGAAGTCTTGAATCTGCAAGCATACCTGCATCATGCCTCCTTCCTTTTAAAAAAGAACAAATACAATCTTTTTATATAAAAATGCTACAGGTTTGCTTTTCTATTATGAACATCCTTGAAATTAGAGAAAACTCAAATAAAGTGAAGTTCTGACCTACTGGGCCATATAGATGTCCTACGAGACCATTGGGGAGAGCCACACACTAAAACTTTAGAGCATGGACTCTCTTGTGACCATTATATACCGCCTGCTGATGTTCCCCTGGCCTGCATATTGGACGAACTGTTCGGTCAACAAATCCAAAACAGTTATTCAAGGCAGCTCCGTGGGCAGCAATAGCGTCGCTACATAGTTGAAGAGCTTGCGGCGAAAGAATTTCGCGATTCCACTGCGTGATTCTGTGGCTGTGTACATCATATACATAATCAAGTACTTGATTGCTGACCATGCTAAGTACAGGTGCTGGCCTCCCAAATCGAGGAAGCATATCGTTATATCTGCACAGATAAGCCAACCTTCGCAGTAGAATGGAAAGGGCTTCCATTTCACTCGCAACGGGTCTTTGGTAGCACGTAAAGCTATCTTGAATTTGGAGGACCTCTGGGAGTAGTGGAAGGTCACGTTTTCTGAATCTAAATTTTGTACACTCATCTGCTATAATCGTGAAAGGAAGGTCCTTGGTCCTTAGGTCTTTTGTCAGCCTTTCCTTAATTTTTGACGCATACACGCGAATGACATCATTCTGGATAGTTTTGCTAGTATATCTTGCTTGTCTGTTTGATGACAAGAGGTGCTTCTGAAGAGAGTCGTTTCCTTTCGCCAGTAATTGTAGCAGGGCAACAAAGTTTCCTCTGTTAATTTCATAACTAGAAAAATCAACACGATCATCACGATGACCTCTAAAGGCCAGACTCTGCTTTGCCAGAAACTCTACAGCCAAAACAATCTGTCGTAGAATTTCTTTGTTCTCAGTGGCTTGATTGGCTACGGACGTCGCCAGCTGGGAATCTACTCTACACCTGTCAGGATTCTCAAAAGTTTGTTTGAAGAGGTCTGCCTGTTCAGTTGCATATTTATGCATCACAGATTGCTCATGACAGTTGAGGATGCCATCCTTGCCAAGTGCCTTAGTGTACGATTTCTGGTATGGTGCTGTGACCAATACACCTGGTGTTGTTCCCTTGGTAACTTTGTGAGGGAATAAGATACAGTGACTACAAATACCACCTTCAAGTAAGTTACTGTAGCAAAGCCAGGGAAACTGTTTTAGCCATTTGAATTGAAAAGAAACTTTCCACGTCTTCTTTCCTTTGGTAACTTGATGAGAATGAAGTATATCGGACTCAGAAGGCTTCCAGTGAAACGTAAGGTATTGCATTCTTTTTTCATCTGTAATTTCCTGCGATAATCGCTTCAAAACACCCCACGAACCTTCAGCAGCTTTCACAACAGTACCCAAATCGATCTTTGTGCCTGTGGTTGAACCAGAAGTGGCAGCCACAGGGCCTTTTGTAACTACATCTAAAATTTATAAAAACAACTATTTGTATACATTTATAACCCCTAATATGTTAGTCCCTTACCTACTTCAAATAACCTCAATAAAAATTGAACACACATACTTTTTATTTGACAAAATTTCAATTGAAAATATTTGAAGTTGTACACACAAATTAAAAAAAAATACCATAGCCTGCTGATACAAAATGTCTTGGTTAGACCTTCAGTAAATGTTATAATAAACTATTTTCTATAACACAACACTGTTATGCCACCGTGTTATATAACATATTTTTACTCTTAGCGGCAAACAAAACTAACGTCATATTCTTCCCCTAGAGCATAGATATGTTCTTTATCTTCAGAACTGCAAGATATTTCAAAAAACTGAAGGTGATTCAATTTTTGCAAAATCAGTCTTATGTCTTCCCTCGCAAGGCTTACACCAACCAGGCACAGAACATTCAATAAGCATAAAGAGGCAGTAATTGTTGCCACTTGATTGGCAGTGAATCCTACTCGGTTGAGCGATAATATTCTAAGATTTCTTAATTGCTTTAAAATAGCAGTACAACAACAGGTATCTATTTTTGACAGTCATTAAGGATCAAGGTTTCAAGAGGAGAGGACTCAATCAATAGGAAATTAAGGGATGATATCGGTTGTCCACTTAAATCCAAATATCTCAAATGTTTAGAAAATTCTATACTATTTCCTAGTAATGCTTCCAGCCTCATTTCGGATGTTGTCATTTCGATATATCTTATGGATAAATATCTGAACCCACTGGAGTGTGACATGATGTTCATAAATAAGGCAACTCCACAGAATGTTGTTATTGTTTACAATGTGCCTCCACCTTCGTGAGACCAGGCACAATGTTTTAAGCATTTCTTTAAGGGAGAAGTTTTTAAACACCTCGACCAATACCTCATCAGGCAAAGCTGTGTACAAAACGAAATTAATACTAGTCAGTTTTACTTGGAATTCTCCAGACTTCTTGCATCATTTGAATAAATACTTTTTTTCTCGGACTGGTCAGTATAAGTTTAACATTCAGATAGAAAAAAATTAGAATTTTCCACCTTCGATCCCGGACACTCCAGCTTGATCGTCTGGGTTGCTGAGTTTTGGCAGCTTGTTCGGAGGAGCAGAACAGCTTCTTTCTGTATTTATCATGACAGTTCATTTAGAGAAGTATTAATTAAGTCTTAATATCATGATAAATTTTAATGTATCTGCCTCGGTTTAATGACAATTTTATTTCTGCTTACCTTCGTTAATACCTTCATTATTACTCGCAGATTCTTCAGACCTTGATTCGTCAGTCGCTGAATCTGCAAAATGTTTATATTTGAAAGGAATGATTATCTCGCCAGCCAGTTGGCAAGATGGCGGCGTGATGGAAAAACGCATGCACTTTGTTTATAAATTACACGGTATGTAATAATAATAATAATAATAATAATAATAATTTTATTTATATAGCGCTAAAATCCAATAATTGTCCAAAGCGCTACCTAATTACAAAATAAAATATAAAAAATATAAAATATAAAATATCTACAATATACAATATAATTCAAATATAGCCTAAGTTATCTACTATATAAATCAAAAACATCTCAAAACAAAAGGAATCTCATAACCTATATGCTAACTTAAATAAAAAAGTTTTAAGGGATTGCTTAAAAGTTGCCACTGAAGCACATTTCCTAATCTCTAGAGGTAAATCGTTCCACAATTTAGGTCCTGCAATAGAGAAAGCTCTGTCTCCATATGTTTTCAATCTGCTTCTTGGAACCACTAAATATTCTTTACATGAAGAACGCAATGACCTAGAGTATGTTTTAAAATTCAAAAGGTCAGAAATATAAGAAGGTGCAAGGCCATGAAGGGCCTTGTATACCAATAAAAGGACTTTAAAAGTTATTCTAAACTCAACTGGTAACCAATGAAGATTAATTAAAATAGGAGTTATATGAACATGCCTCGGTGTCAATGTGACAACACGAGCTGCAGCATTCTGAACTGCCTGTAGTCTAGCTAACAGATACTTAGGAAGGCCATGTAATAAGGAATTACAGTGATCGAGTTTCGAACTAATAAATGCATGGACTAAGATTTTACATGTATCTTGGCTTAAGTACTTGCGGATTTTAGCAATATTTCTCAAATGATAGAATGATGATTTACAAATGTTCTTAATGTGCTCCTCAAAACTAAATATGCTATCAAACTGAACCCTAAATTACGAACAGAGTCACGAGGTGCAATGCACTCAGAACCAACAGTAATGTGACCGATGTCAGGCATGGGATGGAATCTGGAACTGATGACTACAAGGTCCGTTTTGTCCTGGTTTAGTTTAAGATAGTTTCTTATCATCCATTCATCAATGTCCCTCACACAGCATTCCCTCTCAACTTCACTTGTTGGATGTCATTCAAGCTGGTAGATTTAAAGGTAATATATAATTGGGTGTCGTCAGCATATAGATGGTATGATAGTCCAAGATCATTTATTATGTCCGCAATAGGTGATGTGTATAACAAATACAACAAAGGGCCCAGAACTGATCCCTGAGGGACACCACACTTCAATGCACGTTGTGAAGAATGACTATTCCCAACTTTAACAAACAGCTTACGCGAAGACAGGTATGATTTCAGCCACTTAAGCACAGTTCCTTGAAAACCAAAACAAGTAGACAGCCTTGTCACTAGAAGAGTATGGTCCACCGTATCAAACGCCGCCGACAGATCCAAAAGTACCAGTATGACCGACTCATTATGATCTAAAGCACAAAGAATGTCATTTTGAACTCTCAGTAGAGCCGTTTCAGTGGAGTGAAATGACTTGTATGCGGATTGAAACGTTTCCGAAAGACCATTAGATGTAATATAGTCTGTAAGCTGGACACATACCGCTTTTTCCACAAGCTTGGACACAAACTTCAAATTAGAAATAGGTCGAAAACTTTCATATTTAGTGAAATCAGCATTGTTTCTTTAAAGTCGGTGTCATAGCTGCAATCTTCAAGACATCAGGCATAACTCCAGTAGATAAAGATGTATTCACTATGTTAGTCAACACAGGAGTTAGTAAATTGAAACATTCCTTCATTACCACTGCAGGCAGAGGATCAAGTACACAGGATTTATTAATAGATCTCAATGCAAGTCCCTTGATGTCTTCGTAACTGACATTAATAAAGTCTGAAAACACAGAGTTACATTCCACGTAGTTACCAAGAGTCACTTCATTAGCATCATTAACTTGCGCAGAATTCTTCTCTATTAGTGTGGCATGGATACGATCAATCTTGTCAATGAAATAATCAGCGAAAGAATTAGCTAGTGCATCACTACAAGAAGATGGATACCGTGCAGTTGATTGCTTTTGTAGTAGTTTTGATACTGTATTAAACAAAACCCGTTGATCACTTGAGTTTTCAGTAATGATGGTAGTGTAGTAAGAGGATTTCAACGACTTGATCAAATTATTCACAACACAGCACTGACGATTGTATTCTTGTCGATCAGCCTGCAGCCTGGTTCTTCGCCATTTTCTTTCAAGGCGTCGTCGCTTACGCTTCTCTACAGATACCTCATTAGTGTACCACGGAGCAGCAGGCCTAATAGTAACAACTCGGCGCTTGACAGGAGCATGCTTGTCCATTATTGATCTTAATAAGGTGTCATACTGTTGAACTAGATGATCGAGATCGCTGGATGGATCGATGACAAGAAGGCAGTCAGCAACATCACTAAGAAACGACTCCATGTCAAGAGACCGAAGCTTCCGATAGAAGATAACTTCCTTCCTAAACTGGGGCTTTCTTATGGAGACATCACACATTACCGCCAAATGATCAGAGATGTTAGGATCATAGACTTTGATATTATTGAGCATGTTATCATCAGACTTATTTATAAGTAAGTCAAGAGTATGGCCATTGCGATGAGTCCCAGCACAGACACGTTGTTTAAGGTCAAAAGATTCCAAGATGTCAGTAAAACGTTTGGCATTTACATCATCTTG